CACGACCAACCTCCCTCAACTTTCCCCAACCCAACGCATCTCTCTCCCAACTTCCCCCAAGGAAATAGAAACAACCATTAAAAACACTCCCACTTAACAAATCTCCAGGAAATGATGGATACACTAATGAATATTATAAACAATTTTCCACAGACCTATCACCATACCTGACCAGACTCTTCAGCCATGCGGCCATCACAAGCTCATTCCCCAAAGACATGTTACAATCCATCATAACGACTATACCAAAAAACCCGGCAAGGACCCACAACTTGTCAAAAACTACAGGCCAATATCGTTACTTAATACCGACATAAAATTATATGCAAAAATCATATCCCGAAGAATTCTCCCATACCTCCCCACCTTAATTCACCCAGACCAAGTAGGTTTCATCCCAGGTCATCAAGCACCTGACACTACCAGAATTATTATCTCCCTCCTGCACAACTTAGAAAACACCAAAAGCTCCTCCTTACTCTTATCTCTAGATGCAGAGAAAGCATTCAACCGGATACACAGGCAATTTATGCAACTTACTCTTCAAAAATTCAGTATCACAGATTGGATGTTGAATGCCATCCTATCACTATATTCTCATCCCTCTGCCAGAGTGCTGACAGATGGTACATTATCTGACCCCTTTGACATCACTAACGGCACCAGACAAAGCTGTCCACTCTCCCCGATAATATTTACACTCCTTATTGAACCCCTAGCATCCAAACTCAGAGAGGATCGGTCATTTACAGGAATCAAACACCTCAACGTGGAACACAAAATTTGCCTATTTTGAGATGATATTATATTAATGGTGACCAACCCAAAATCGTCCCTTAAAACGATTTGCACACACCTCTATACCTACTCAACAGTCCTCATATTACAAGCTTAATGAACCCAAATCTTCCATACTGAACCTTCACATCCCACCCCAACTCCAAATTCTACTAGCCAAACAATTCCCATTTTCATGGGAAACAAATAACATTCCATATTTAGGAATCAGACTCACACCAATGGACGGACCAACTATACACCGCAAACCATAAAATATTACTTGAAACTATTCCTCAAGAACTTGCCACACTCCGCACCTCAGAACTCTCCAAACTAGGACGCGTGGCAACCCTGAAAATGTACATCCTACCCAACATCTTATACATATTCCGTACACTCGCTATACCAATCCCTAACTCATTCTTTTCTAGCCTACAAACAGTCCTCACAAAAGTTCCTATGTTACTCTAAAAAACACCAATCTCTTAATACGCTCTACAGCTAAGGGAGGAGCAGGACTCCCACACCTCAAGCTTACACCGCTACTCTTCTAGACCAAATATACTTTTGTTGGAACGCATCAAAGGAAAAAATTTGGACCACAATGGAAACCCTTCCCTTTTCACCCGCTTAAACCCCAAAATATAGTCCTAACTCTGCCAACCAACTGAATAGAATACCAAACAAAACACCCCTGCATACAAGCTTCTTTACAAGCCTGGCGTGACCTATCTACTAAATTCAAGGACATCAAACATATCCCTACTCCAACCAATATATTACACCTCCTTATACCCTCTTTAGAACTATCTCAATGGGTAAAACAAGGTATAACTAATATAACAGACCTCTACACCAACCAATCTATATACCCCTTCCAAATTCTCTAAACCAAATATAATCTTCCTACTACTGAACGCTTCACACTTAAGAATTGTGCATTGTCTACAAACAACAATCTTACCCCACACCACTAAGATTCCAATTACAGCCTACCTCTTCTTCACCAAACCTCAATACCCAGGTAAGGGTATCTCCACCTTCTACACATACCTCACAAACTTACAATTCACATTACAAACAACTTCCTAACCAACTGGGAAAAAATCCTATCAGAACGAAAAACTTTACAATGTTGGGAAAACGCCTTCAACATTAACCTATAAAGCTACCCGATGTAGCTCCCACTGGGAGTCATATCTAAAAATACTCAACCAATGGTACCTGACCCTGGTCAAACTTTCCCTCTACTACCCGAAACAATCTCCTACATGCTGGAGACAATGCGGTGAGACAGGCTCAACACTACATATTCTTTGGTCATGTAAATCACTTAGATCTTTCTGGAATACTACCTTCCAATTAATATCTGACATAACCAAAATTTTGATAATCCCAAATCCCTCATTGGCACTCCTACATATTGGGATTGAGAAATTCCCTCTTCATTACCCAAACACTTTTCGCTGCCAAAATAAAACACACCAGATTATGGAACACAAATATCCTCTCACTTCACTAATTACAGGCCTCAACACCCAATGTGAAATGGAGAAAAAATCCGCAATCAACGCTTTCTCTCAACATAAATTCAATCAGCAATGGACCCGATGGTTAAAACACCCAAAAATGCTCTGTACAACCCTGATGACTTTAAAGCATAAAAAGTTACCTCCTAAACCTAGACTGGTATATCCTCATTCACACAGTTATATCTTCCCTCCTCTACTCCCTACCTCCCTCATCTCCCTTACCAATACCCCCCTAACATCCCAGGCTCTTCACCAAGGTTCATCACACACATATGAATACCTCTGATATTGCTAAATAAGACCAATACCACCACCCAGTGAGTGGAGTAAAAACAAAAATGCTCAACTATATAACATTGTATTGCAATATTTACGAATGAACCGTATATCATTCCCTTGTCTGTCTCTGAAAAAATTCAATAAAAATATTGAAACATATACATCACATGGCAGCTAATCAAATTGTTTCCTTTAAAGCAAAAACTTCTAAAATGTTACTGATCTAATTTTTAGCAGACTTACACAATATAATCCATAGAAATCCTACTTCAGTTAGATGGTTGTAAAGCCTCCCAGATCACTTCTACTTGCAGTGTAAGGGACACAGCTAATTAGTAGCTCTTTGCTTGCTTTAAAGAGAAGTATGGCCAAAGGTTTTTTGGCCATACTTCTCACGTGGGTCACAGGAGTGCATTTTATTCTGCTCTCCTGTGACCCAGATTCAGCAGAAAGCAGGCTACAGTCCACTTCTTCACAGTGCCAGGCCAGGCTCTGCAAGGATCCCAGCTTTTAAAGTCGGGATCCTTCCACACGCCTGACTGCCAGCTGGTTCAGCCTCTCAGCATGCCACTGAGTGCCTGAGCCAGCTTCTCCTACCCCCTTCACAGTCCATTGCTCCAGTGAGAGCTAAAGGGGCAGAGCAAAGAGCCGATGACTGACAGTCACTTCTCCCTATTCACTGAAGAAAGAACTGAGCGATACATGGCCACATGCTCAGTTCTCGGTTTTAGAGCTCCAGGGGGGACAGCTGCAGCATCGGATCGATGCTGAAGACACATAGGGGAGCATGAATGTCTTAAAATCCCACACTCCTCCTCTAACCTTTGGATTGTCATGATGTATTCCCAACATTACTGGCTATTTTGAATGACGGACAGCCTTGACACATGGCACGAATCATTGGTAGTAAACGGGATGTTCAATGGCTCCCGCTGCTTCATTTCCTGTGAGGAGGGAGAGCGGGTGCAGCACTGCATCTCTTGTACACAACGTAGGATCAAGATTGGGATCAAGTAAGTTTACGGGGGGCTGCTGCTCAGGAGGAATTGCTCTTCACACATTCTTCTCAGGCATTTACAGACACTTATGGACAGTGTGCTGATCTGTATGTGTGCTGCACTGTGTATACTGACATGTAAACAAACAATGCATTCTGTATGCAGGCCAGCAAATTGGCTGACCAACTAATCGATAATGAAAATTGACGAAAAACATTTTCATTATTGATTATGTTGATTAGTTGTTTCAGCCCTACACTGCATACAAGTCTAAAATTACAAATCAGAGAAACACATGAATCCATTGCTCAGTTCATCAGGTTAGGACTTAAAAGTGATACTAAAGCTAAAAAAGTTTACCTTAATGCAAGGAAAAGAATTTATATTTCGCTGCCCCCCCCCCCCCCCACCCCCCCCTCCTCTGTGTGAAAAGGAAGAGGGGGGTGAAATGAACCAGCGCCATGCATGGCTGCATCTCTTCTCCCCTCTCTTCCTCTTCACACAGCACTTGAGCAGCATCAGGAGCCATTGGCTCCTGCTGTTGTCAATCGAATGCAGTGAGGAGGAAGGGGCAGGGCCAAGTCCGACAGCTTGAGAGCGCACACTGTGCGCCACCATAGAGAACGGCTTGTGATGGGGACACACGAACAAGAGGAAGAGCCAAGATTGCCAGCAGGGGACACAAGAAGGATCGAGGACAATACCACTGCACAGAACAGGTATTACATGTTTATTATTTTATTAAAAATGATCTATTTACTTTAGTAACACTTTAAAGTGGTTCTAAAGGCTGAAGGCTTTTTTTTTTCTTAACTGCATGTATTCTATGCATGAAGGTAAAAAAACCTTCAGTATGCAGCCCCCCCCCCCCCCCCCCCCCGCTCCCAAAAAAAAAAAAAACTCACCCAAGCCCAGCTGCTATCCCAGATCTCTGCCTCCTGTTTGGCTCAGCGACAGCAGAGGCTCCACTGCTGTCAATCACAACCAGTGAGAAAGGATTGGTGGGCAGAACCGAACTGTGCTCTGTGTGTCTTATGGACACACAAAGTGGGGCTCAGGAGTAAGCACACACTAGGGCCCCCAGAGCAGCAACTTGCTGTGGAGGCACTCAGCGGGGGGTGTGAGGAGACCAAAACGCCAGCGAGGGAACAGAGGATCGAGGCTGCTCTTTTTTTTTTTTTTTTTTTTTTTTTTAAATGTAAGCCTTTAGTATCACATTAAAAAGGTACTAACCTGATGAACTTAAAAGAGGTTACATTTAAACAAACATGGATTTTGGTCTGAAGGATATCAAATCTGCATAACTGTTTAGAGAAGAAAAAAAGAAAAAAAAAAAAAAAAAAAAAAAGGGACTATATACAATTCAATTTCTTGTAATATATTAAAAAGGAAGAAAAATACTACTACTTACTTTTTAAGGACGATCTCTGAGGCACCCTTACTAAACATTCGATAACTACCATCATTGTTTTTTAACACTGTGCTCATAGACTTCCTCACAGAATTAAAAGTGTACACTTTAAAAAGGGTTTCCTCAGGGATCTCATTCCGTACATCTTGATAGTCACGTTTTAGATCCAAAAGAAATCCCAGCAAGGCACATTCAGTTTTGTTACCAACGTGGCGTGGTAGGCCACCTTCTTTTTCAGGAGGCTAAAACAAAACAAAAATAAACAAAAAAATAGCATCAAAAGCAGAAACAATGACTCTCAGAAAATGCAAAGATCATCAAAGGTATGTATATATCAGAACATGCAGTTTTTTTTTTTTTTATTTTTTTCTCCTCTGAGCTTCCTTTCCTGTACTGTCCCTGGGCTATGCAGAGGTGCCGACAGAGCAGACTTCAGTGTAGAGGAGAGGAGGCAACAACTGCAAGGCCTGGGGGTGATGACATCACCATGGTATACTATTGGCAAACCCTTGTTGATTGTCCCTATTCTACACTGAAGCCGGCGTAGGAAGCTGCAATTTCTTTTACAGGCTAGAATAGCCTTAAAATGAGGGTGGAAGTAGATTTAGCTTTAGAATTTGACTGGAATTCGACTTTAACAGTCAGCCAGAATAGTCTCCCCTCTAGGTCCAACCAGCCTGCATATCCCAGCTATTCTTGAGTCTGGAACTGAAACAGGTGGATTCTGTGTCATGCAGATGCACGGAGCCACATTTTTTTTTACTTTTATTTTGGTCATGGCAAGACTTGAATTACCTAATAAACACAGAGGAAATAAAATAAAGCAGAAGCAAACCATCCTATTCTTTTACAGCCAAGGAAGAGGCCATCTTAGCCTCTGTTTGATCTACAACTGCCATGGTGCTGCACCTCTAACCAGCTAAGACACCAGCCATATGATGGTTTGATAGGTTGACAGAACAAGCAAATGTGATGGCATTCTCGGCATGCCAGGAATATTACTGTATTTCGAAATGGCTAAATCAACGGATTTAGTTCCACTTTAAGCAAAAGTATGATGCAAATATTCTCCCTCAACATACATATCCAGAGCTAACGTTCAAGTTTGTGTTTGCAAATTCCACAGTTTCTTTCTAACAGTATTTCATTCACCACACAAAAAAATGCCCTTGGAAATCGATCATCTTTAACAAGGCAAAATATCCACATCACATTTGTTCTGAACTCTACATCAAATGTGCTCTTTTTATCCACCATCTTAATAAACTACAAAGGTCAGATGCACTTTTCCACTACTATCTCCATGTCATCTCTAAATGTGGGAAGGATATAAAAGTAAAATACAATCTGATGGTCTAAAACTGCTTTCATAAATTAAATAAAAAAAATTGAGATAGATATATATCTCCATCCATGCATACAGCTGTGGTGAAATTATTTAAAAAGCACCAAACCCTGACAAACTGAATGCACATGTGGTGTTGTAGACATTTTACCTGGATCCATTTTCAAGAACATTTTTTGAATGAAAACACCTTTACACAGAAAGATTGTGGACTTTTGTACATTTACTTTAGTGCTGGTTGTGTATGCAAGTAGATTTTATTTTACAGCAGCTGATTGCAAACATTTTACTGTGTAACGTGAAATTCTTGGATAGTGCAGTTGTAGGGAATATATTATAAGATGTGCCATCTTATAGGGATAAGAAAACTTTAAAACTGTAATATCGGCTGCAAAAGGGCAGGTCATTGGTTTTTCCCAACTAATGTATCAAGAAAATGGAAAAAACAGACAGCTGCAAACAAGTGTGCCAACAGTGAGAAAACTTGCCAAAATTTTGGAAGTGTAAGCACAGTTCACCGAAATCCCAGTGATAAGGAGGCTCAGCACATTTTCAGGTAGGGACTCTGCATCGGGAATCTTTCTGTAATGTTTATCATTCAGGTAAGCTTGAACAACAGTCATTCTGTTCATTGTTAATGTTCCAGTTTTATCTGAACAGATTGCAGTGGCGTTCCCCATGGTTTCACAAGCATCCAGATGCCGAACCAAGTTGTTATCTTTCATCATTTTCTAGATATACAAAAAAAAAAATTGGTTAGTTTACTTACAAGAAACCTAAATATTAATTTTCCTAGTTTACCATACACAATGATCGAGTTTTCAAGCCTAAGGATATATGCAAGACATGCAAACACAAGAATTAAAATATTTTGGTGGTCTAAGTTACAAAAAGGCAGATGCAGAAAGCTTATGATTTTAACCCTTGAGCAGGTTTCAGTAAAAAATTAAGAAAACCCTTCCCGCGACAAGACATGGAATCCGCCACTGCTACGTCACATTCTGCAATGTTTCCTGTCGGTCATGTTTACCCTCCCCCCCGAGCTTTAATACTTTCATATCATTTAGCAAGAAAAAGCATGAAAATAAGAAATGTCAGTCTTAGGTGCACATACCTATTCCAGGTCAGTGGACTCTAACCCTACTGCCCCCAGTTGGTCACTGTACGAGAAAGACAACTAGCAACTGCAGAGGGAAATAATAGCACCCCTATGCATCGCTCAGGAAAAGTTTACTTTAAAACTGTCTAGATCAAGGCTTTTATTAAACACAAGATATTTGCTTAACCACTTGCCCTCCAGAGAATTCACCCCCCTTCCTGACCAGGCCATTTTTTGCTGTTCAGCACTGTGCTATTTCAACTGGTAACTGGGTAACTGAAATGCTGTACCCAATTTAAATGTCTTTTTTTTTTTTTTTTTTTTTTTTTTTTTTTTTTTTTTTTTTTTTTTTTTTTTTTTTACACAAATAGAGCTTTCTTTTGGTATATTTGATCACCTCTGCGGTTTTTTTATTTTTTGCGCTGTAAAAAAAAAAAAAAAAAGGCAAAACTTTTGGGAAAAAATTTTTTTTTCACTTTTGGTTATAAAAAATGTCCACTAAACTCAAAGTTAGTCATAAATTTAGACTAAAATGTATTCTGCTACATGTCTTTGGTAAAAAAAAAAAAAAAAAAAATCAATACATGTATATTAATCTGTTTCTGCGAAAGTTATAGCGTCTACAAACTATGGTATATATATTGGAATTTACGTAGCTTTTACTTTCTGAATGCCTATCACATTCCTTGAGGTGCTAAAATGCCAGTGCAGAGAGGCATGTTGAGTCCATTGAACATTTTATTTTTTACCACAAATTTGTTGAATATGACAATTTTTTTTTTTTTTTTTTTTTTTTACACAAAGTTGTCACTTTAATGATATATTGCTCATGCATTCCATGTATATGTGGAACAACACCCAAAACACACTCCTACTTTTTCCGAGTATGGGGATACCACATGTGACTTTTTGGCAGCCTAGCTACAGATAAGCCCCCCAAATCCAATGACCACCACAAGGCTTTTAAAGGGCATATTTCTTAAATATCACTTCCCCACTACCTATCACAGTTTCAGAGGCTCTAAAATGCCAGAATAGTACAAACACCCACCCAAATGACACCTTTTTAGAAAGTGGATACTCCCAAGATATTTGATAAGAGGCATGCTGAGTATTTTACAGATATTTTTGTCACAGGGTTTCGAAAAAAGAAAAAATGAAAATAAATTCTTTGTTCTTTCTTCATTTTCAAAACACATGTGGCAACAAATGATATCTGCAAAAAACACCAACCAAGCCTCTTAGCAAATACCTTGGGAGTGTCCACTTTCCAAAAAGGGGTCATTTGGAGGAGTTGCTTCTACTATCCTGGCATTTCAGGGCCAACATTAGAAGCTCTTGAAGACCAAACCTTTTGACACTTTTTGTTCAAATGAAAAAAAAACTTTTTTGCTAGAAAATTACTTTGAAGCCCCAAACATTATATATATTTTTTAAAGCAGAGGTCCTAGAGAAAAAAAACGGTGAGTATTGAAATTTTTTTACGTCACACAGGATTTGCGCAGCAATTTTTCAAACGTAAATCTTTGGGGAAAAATACACTTTTTAGAATTTTAATGCACAAAAACACAATATATTGCCCAACTGTTTGATAAAATATAAAAGATGATGTTACGCTGAGTAAATAGATACCAAATATGACATGCTTTAAAATTGCGCATGCCCATGCAATGGCAACAAAGTACATACATTTTTATTATCGATAGGTGATGCTTTAAAAGCCTTTACAGGTCACCAAATAAGATTTACACAGGAGGTCTAGTGTTAGAATTACTGCCCTGGATCTGACATTCGCGGCGATACCTCACATGCATGGTGCAACCGCTGTTTACATACCAGCACAGGGTCAACGGGGCCAATCCTGCTAACTCTGCATTTTTGGGGACACTATACAAAAGGAGGCACCAATATAGTTCTGTACGTGATCAATATCTTGATCCGTACAAACACTATACTCGTAATGGCGGTGATCAGCGACCTATAGCGTGAGTGCAATAGTGTGCAGGCAATCTAATGCTAGCTGACCCTGGCTGGGAGGGGCGTTTACTGACCCTGATGCTATCTGATGTCACTAGTGGCAGTAATACAGTGATCAGTGAACAATTCTATATACTGACACTGTACTAATGGCACTGGTTGGGTGTCGGGGTGATCAAAGGGTTAATAGGGGCAAACAAAGGGTTAAATGTGCTAATCTAACGTGTGTGTAAAATGAAGTGCTTTTACTCGGTGCCCTGTTCTCTATTCTCTCCCTGGACCGACAGGTGGGGAAGGGCAGCGGGGGGGCACAGGTGTGTTCACACCCCAAAATAGGAAGTGATGCAAGATTACATTGCTTTGCCAAGAGCTGCTGCTGTGTGTGTGTGATCCCCTGAGTGAGTTCACAACACAAAACAGGCACAGCAAAACAGCAGTTTAGGTGAAAAAACAAAAATGCGGTTTATTTACACTATTTGCAAGAGAAAAACATCAAAACAAAAAAAACCTGAAAATAAATCCTTGCCAACCTGGCCACTTACTATACAAAAAAGCTTCCCTTGCTATCAAATAGGTGCAGCCTTGTGCTACACCCAGTCCCTGTCTCCCTGTTAATTTGAGGCTAGCCACACAGGCATTTGTCTCACCGCACAGACAGGTATGATGGTCCCCAGTCTACTTAGGCACAGACCTGGTTCCAGGATGGAGCAACTCCCTAAGCAGGTTGGGAAGTTTTATAGGAGGCCCTAATGAGCCCACTACCTTCAGCTGGGCTCATTAACTCAATGCTGAAGCCTCAGCACTCCCCCCCCCCCCCCCCCCCCCCCCCCCCCCCTCACCCAGTGGAACAAATCTACAAAGAGCCTGAATCTCGGACAAATGTATCTGCCATCCTAGATGCACCCAGGTGATTTTACCTGCCTATTGTCACAATTATTTATATATATATATATATATATATATTGTGTGTGATTGTGTGTGTGTGTATTCTCTATCTATATCTAAACATAGATATATATGCACACGTGATTTTGCGCAGCCCTGCAGCAATATTTGTGCTACAGGGCGGCGGTAAAGAGGTCAATCTTCCTAATAGCATTACGTTAGGTAGAAAAGTGACCTTGTGAACACTAACAGGCTACCTCTATCCATTGACCGGAATTGGGAAATGAATGCATTAAGAATGTCCTCACAATAGCCCTTCTCAAGAAACCTATTCTTCAGGACCTCTGCTTGTGAGTCAAAATCATCCAATCTGGAGCAATAGTGCCTAAGGTATAAAAATTGACTATGGGCGACAGACTTTAACGAAGAACTATGGTAACAGCTAAAAGGTATAAATGCATTCCTGTCTGTGGTCTTGAAAATTCTACTAATTTTCTCATTAAAGCAGAGTTCCACTCACCCTGTCAAAAAATAAAAGCCAGCAGCTATAAAAACTGTAGCTGCTGACTTTAAAAAAAAAAAAAAAAAAAAAAAACAGCCACTTGCCTGTTTCTCGGTCCCGTGGTGTGTCCCCCGCAACCAGTTTCACCAGCCGTCCTGTATTCCAGGAGGCCGGCATCTTCAGTGTGGGCAAGCTGTCACAGCCAGGTACCCACTATAGATGAGCGAGTAGCGCTGCGCTTCATGAATGGTCCTGTAGTCTTCTGAGACTTGTCATGTGTCCCAAAAGACTACAAGGAGGGAGGGAGGACACCTCCCCCCCCGCAGGTGCCAATCCTTAATGGGCAGCGGGGGAGCAGTCATTAAAGCATAAAACTTCCCCTTTTGGGTGCTCTGCTTTAACAAATCTAATCCTATGAATTTCATGCCAATCAGAGACAAGAGTTGGTTTTATGGAAGAGGTACATAGACAACCTCCTCCTGATCTGGAATAGTGATGCAGACTCCCTAGGATCTTTCATTTCTGAGCTTAAGGGCTCATGTACACTGCAGCTGAAACTCACGTTCAGGAGCTGTTCAGCTTTTTTTTGAGCAGCCCCTGAACTCACCGTAATGTTTTCCTATGTGTCCATGTACACATCTTCGTTTACAGTCGTTTACAGGCATTTGAGTTTACAGTTTTTTTTAAACGCAGAAAGCTTGCATTCAGCAGTCGATTTTATCAGCGTTTCAAACGCAAAACGCTTGGAAACGCAGCTAAAAGCGCAAATTGCACTTATAAGCGTTTACGTCTGAAAATGATTTTTTAACTCTTCCAGTTCCCAATGCTGTCCAGAGCCTTTTCATCATGAAAAATGCATGCCAAGCGTTTTTAAGGTACTCAGCTGGACAAAAAACTGAACACAGGATGTTCCTACCAAGCTTGTCACACATTGTAATGACCAATTCACACCTCAGACCTCTCCCACCCTTGGAAACAAAAGATGTTAAGGAGCAACTCACACCAAAGCCAAATTTCAACACATACTGCTGTCTCTGCTTCTACGCTCTGTATTTCTCTGAAAGTCTGAAATCGTTAATTTACCACTTTTCAGTGCATTCTAGGCATTTGGAAGGTTCTCTTGTGCTTATCTTTAAAAAAAAACGCTCATAAATGCAACATAAATGCAACCACACATAAGTGCGTTATGCAAACGTGGCTAAAAGACTTAACCTACATTTTCCAGCAGTCAATTTCCATCCTTCAAAAGTGTCCTTGGGGCCTAATGATAACAAACAAAGGATGGTCTTAACCCATGAAGCCAGTAAACATGAAACCACACTATACCAGAAGTACGTCTCCATGTTCACGAAAAATCGGGTTTTTTGCATTCTTATGTTTTTGGGGTTGTTTTTACCCCAACTGATTTACAGATTGACATTTGGTTTCTGGCCCTTTTATTTTTCATTGCTTACTGGTTACTCAATGGATCAGTTGTGAACCTATGTGGAAGAGCTTCAGGGCTAGTACAACAGCCATTTTGGGAACTTGATTTATGCACCAAATTATTAAAATCTATGTGGCAGTCTGACTACTGTGTGATTTTTACTATGTTTTAACTATGTAAAAGATACGTAAGCATTTTTTAAATTAAAAGTTTTAATGTGTATTCTCCCGGTGGCACACTAAAAATCTCGCTTTTGACTCCCCTATTACATGAGGTGAGAGAGGCTAGTATATTGCAATGTTTAGATTAATGGGATGGTGCCCTGAGGGGGAGTTTAACCTCTTGCCGCCCTGCCACTGTATATATACGTGTGCAGGGCGGCACTGGGGCGCAAAACCACGTTTTAAAACTGGTTCCGCGCTCAAGGTTTTTGCCGGCAGGGGGCGCGCGCACTCCCACCGACCCGCGGGTGACACCATTCGATCCTAGAGGGATCAATCAGATTTCAGCCAGTGATGTCTGGCTGAAATCAGATGATCGGTCCTTGTCCTATCCTGTCCTGTGTTGACATTTACACAGGACAGGATATGATGTCATTCTTCTCTGCCTGGACACATTCCGTTCCAGACAGAGAAGACGACATACTAACAGTGAGTAAAACAGCACATACCCACAGTTAGAACACACCTAGGACACATTTAACCCCCTGATCGCGCCCCCCCCAGTTAACCCCTTCACTGCCCTGTCACCAGTGTCACTGATCAGTGAACCAATTTTTACTGATCACTGTATCAGTGTCGCTGGCGACTTCCGATAGTGTTAGCGCCCCTCCCAGATAGCGCCAGATTGCCCGCCAGTACACCAGTAATCCCGTTTAACCCCTTGATCGCCCCCCCCCCCAGTTAACCCCTTTACTGCCCTGTCACCAGTGCCACTGATCAGTGAACCCGATCACTGTATTAGTGTCACTGGCGACTTCCGATAGTGTTAGCGCCCCTCCCAGATAGCGCCAGATTGCCCGCCAGTACACCAGTAATCCCGTTTAACCCCTTGATCGCCCCCCCCCCCCAGTTAACCCCTTTACTGCCCTGTCACCAGTGCCACTGATCAGTGAACCGATTTTTACTGATCACTGTATTAGTGTCACTGGTGACTTCCAATAGTGTTAGCGCCCCTCCCATATAGCGCCAGTTTGCCCGCTAATGCACGGGATTTTTTTTTACCAAAAACATGTAGCAGAATACATTTTGGCTTTAATTTATGACTGAGTTTACGATATATTTTTTATAGCTGAAAGTAGAAAATAATTATTTTTTTCAAAATTTGTGTTTTTTTTGTTTATAGTGCAAAAAATAAAAAAGCGCACAGGTGATAAAATACCACCAAAAGAAAGCTCTATTTGTGTGAAAAAAAGGATTAAATTTCGTTTGGGTACAGCATTGCATGACCGCGCAATTATCATTTGAATTAGTGCAGCGCCAAACAGCAAAAAAAAGGCCTGGTCATTAAGGGGGGTAAATCCTCAGGAGCTCAAGTGGTTAAGAAGATCCCACCATTTTAATATGCTGGCAAAATTCACTAATACTAGAACTGGAGGAATAATAAAAAAAGAGAAAAAAAAATTTTAATGCTAAAAATACTACAACTAATAAGGCAGCTAATAATGTTATTATCCCTACTACTGATAATTACTATTAAACTATGTATAAATGGGCAAATGTCTCACGGATATATTACAGAATATTAAACAACCCAACAAACTTTTTATTCTGCACATTCCATAAGCAATATTTCATTATGGCATACACTTTTTTTAAAGTTGTAGCAAACTGTATTTTTTTCAATTGTACCTGCGAGATATTCGCAGTTGCTGCTGCAGCCGATGCATGCATTCTGAAGAGACAAAATACTCATACCATCCCTTCAGAGCACCGTGCCGCAGCAATGGCGTTATCATGGCTCAGCCATTCAAATGACTGGAGCCCACAAATCCATAAGGAAGACTCTGTGAAGATGGAAGGCCTGACAGAGGTGACGTTTTTTTTTTTTTTTTTTTTTTTGTTTTAACTGCTAGATTTTACTACCATCTAAGAGGAATGACTGCTCATTCTACATTAACAATAAAATCTGTAGGCAATAAAAAGGCTTTTTTGAAATGCGCCCTTTACATAGTTTGGTTAAAAAAAGGAAAAAAAAACAAATGTCCATATAGTTCAACCAATACAACTTACCTCTTAAATTTCTAACCCCAACATGTTCCCATCAGATTAATGCTAGGTTCGCATTTGTGCGAGTAATTGCACATGTTCCCACATCTGCACTAAAAAGCATGCTGCTTATAAGAAAATGTGCCAGTAACAAAGTGCACTGAAATATGTGGTATGGTTTCCTGCATGTGGAAACACATGGTGCCCAAAGCACCATACAGTTTCTCTACGGCCAAGTTTAAAAAAAAAAAAAAAAAAAGAAAAAGAAACGTAGGCACAGCAGTCAATTCAACTGAGTGGGCTGCTATGCCTGTGCAAACGTGGCACACAGGACCACTCAGATGTGAACCTAGCCTTGGAATGAGAAGTTTCTGGTAAGGTTTATTTTAACATTGACATTACTGTAAATTAGCATCAAAAGAAGCCATAGGAACATACCTTAACAGAATATGCCAGTGAAATGGTAACCGCAAGTGGAAGACCTTCTGGGACTGCAACTACCAAAACTGTGACTCCAATAATAAAAAACTTGACAAAATATTGGACATAAATGGGCGTACACTGTGCCAACCATTGACGTTGCTGAATCCAGAAAGTATTGATGACAAAGTAAAGGACAAGGATTATGACTGTAATTGCAGACATCACCAAGCCTAAAAAACAAATCAAGAAGACATGCTACTTAATATAATGCCTTAAACAATGAACATTAATTGAAAAGCTTTTGAAAAAGTCATTTTATATATTACACAACCAAAATTACATTACAAATATTCAGCTTGGAACTTAAACCGTGGCATACACTACCATTCAAAGATGTGAGCTATCCAAAAATTCTTTATTTTGAATTTAGTTGATACATCAATTCACAAAGTTGGTGTTAAAATTGACCAACAATTAGTTGATACATTGATAAATATCACAACATTCTTTACACAGTACATCTTTATATTATGTAGCTTCCATTCAAACAGTCCTCTGAAACCAGCAAGTAATTGCTGTAAATAAAGTAGTTTTTTTTTCTCTCTTTAAAATTCTGCCTCTAAGGCCAGGATCAAGGAGAAGTCCTTTCACTGTTGCATGGTATTTGAAGTTGTTCCACTTAGGTTTCATTCATAATGCAGCAACATTTTTACTAATGTTTTGTAGGAGAAAAGTTTGAGTAATGAACAGTAAAATACATGTGTATAGAGGAGTTTCAATGCATAAAGACACTTATGAGTACATAATGATAGTATATTGTTCCCCTTGGTTAGGTTTCATTTATGCGCTTACAAAAATATATAAATGCATTTATACGCAGACCGTAAGACACGTTTTTAGACACAGATTTTTAGATTCTGTGCTACGGATCTGAATGCAGTAAATGTTTACACACCTGCATGAATGGAAATAAACAATTGTATAGGTTTTTCTGGGGTTTTTTCGCCCATGTGTATGAAGCCTTAAAGCTAATGTTCCACTGTGACAAACTGCAAGCAGGCTGGCTCTTTACTGAAGAGCAGATCTGCAATGTCTCTTCTGCAATAAAATACACTTACCCGCTTGCTCACTGTCTGTATTATGGTGTGCACATTTTACATTCTACAACCCCAATTTCAAAAACGTCTGTAAAATCTACAAACAAAATGCAATTTGAAAATCTCAAAGTCATTTTATTCACAACAGAAAATAGAACTCATATCAAATGGTTAAACTGAGGTGCCGGTAAATGCGACGGGAGCATCAAGGCACAGCCACTGAGAGGCCACATATTTGTGTACTTCAAAATCTCCAAAGGTGACGCTTTAAAAGCCTTTACCAGTTAAGAGTTACACAGGAGGTCTTGCGTTAGCATTATTTCACTCGTTCTGACGTTCGCGGCAATACCTCACGTGTGTAGCGCGATTGCCATTTACGTAACAAAGCTTGTGTTCGCCTTTGCACACTAGTGCAGTGGGAGGTGGTGCTTTAAAATAAAGAGGGTGGCGGTGGAGAAAGTAGAGAGTTAAAAGTAGAGAAGAGACGACAAGGACTGGATGACAAGGTATAAGAGTGACAAAGTAGGCTTGTTTGGCAGACTGTAGGGAGGAATTATATGTGAAGAAAAGCAGATTTATATAGGGTGAATGCTTGCTGAGATTTGGTTTTAAGCCATAATCGCTCCAGTGCACGGCTATATCTCTTAAGATTTCTGGTGTTGTCAGTCTGCCGCGATTGTAATGGTCGGAGCCTGATAATTTGTGTAGTTAGAGGAGCAAATGAGTCTAGTGTGGATGAAAGCAAACTGTTGTAGACAACAGTGGCCAGGTCAGGGCAAGACAGGGGAGAGATTCTGTCAGAGGCAGTCAGTTGTAAAGTGGAAAAGAGAAGGGTTTAAATTGTGAAAGTTTCTGCGGGTAATTGTTTGCTGCTTGGAGGGTTAGGTGTTTGAAGATGAGGACACTGTGAAGTTGATGATATTGTGATCAGAGAGGAGGAAAGGGGGGTGTTTGTGGGGTTGTACGGAGTGAAAAGATGGGAGAAAACAAGGTCTAATGTATTCCCATCAGAGTGAGTGGAGGACTGTGTCCATTGCGTTAAGGCAAAAGATGAGGTTAGGTTGAAGAGTTGGGATGTAGCTGGATTGTTAACATTAATGGGGATATTAAAATCTACAAGAATAATAGTGGGTATTTCAGAGGAGAGAAAGTAGGGTAGCCAGGTAGAGAAGTCATCAAGAAAAACGGGACACCAATCCAGGAGGCCGGTAGATCACTGCAATTCTCAGAGAAATAGGTGAAAACAGCCGAATGCACCGAGTCTCGAAAGAAGAGAAGGATAGAGAGGGAGAGTTATGGAGGACTTGAAAGGTGCTCAGTGGGGATAGAAGCAACCCAATTCCACCTCCTTTCTGACCACTGGGACTGGGTGAGTGAGTCCAGAGAAGGCCTCCATAGGAAAGTGTTGCAGAAAAAGCAGAATCTGCTGCTTGAAGGCAGGTTTCTGTAATTGCTAGTAGGTTAAAAGGGAGTGGGAGACAAAAGGTCATGGAGAGAAGTGAGCTTATTAGAGCGGGCATTCCAGAGTGCACATGAAAAAGGGAGGGTGGTGTAGCAATCATGTACGTACAGAGATGGATGTGAACCTCCATTTTGGCAAAGGCCTCCATCTTGTATCATTTTCTACTCCAAATCCCCCCTCCCTCTCTGCTGAGTGACACGTGGTCCCTGGATGCGGAGTTCAAAAAGGCATCAAGGCCCAGCGGGGGAGCTCCTGGTTATAAACCCCAATTAGCCTGGCCCCCGTATGTCTGTGAGACTCTTGCTGGAAAAGGATCGTAAAGCCATAAACCAAGGCCTTCACTGAGCCTCAAAGACATTCCAGTTAACCCGTAAACCAGACATCACATTCAAGATCCATTTCCCCTATGATTTCATATCTTAGAATATGAAAGACTTACATAAAAACCATGCATAAATTCAGATCGGTCACTTTAATACAAGTCGCCTGATATATTACACCCCCTAGCTGACATCTACAGGAGAGGAGAAAATGATATCTCCTTAACCATCCCAGCAGGTATGTCATATTTCATATCTAGACATTCAGCAGATGCGTCTGCATATTAATCTACTAGTGACAAGGCTGCTAAATGCACAGAGGGTAGGTTATGGACCATGACATCAACTGTGAGGGTTTTTGGTTCTAGCTTGGGTCTCCGCCCCAACACCCTCCCCAAATGAGGAGATTGGTTCTCTGCTTCAAGGAGACTCCCTGAGTTCCTAGAAAAGGGGTTATGCTTGGAGCAGAAGCTAAGCTGAGTGGAGTTGAAGTAGCTCCCTTTTAACATCGGAACTAACTTTGGGAGATAAGGCCCTTTTGCTCAGAAAACTTGAAAGCTGCTTAACCCAGGACTTTTGGCAAGTACTTTATCTCTCTAAAATTCCTGCCATCTCTTTGGTGTGTGTGTGTGTGTACACACACACACACACACACACACACACACACACACACAGTGGGGATTGAAAGTTTGGGCACCCCAGCTAAAAATTTGTATTAATGTGCATAAAGAAGCCAAGGAAAATCTCCAAAAGACATCAAATTACAGATTAGACATTCTTATAATATTTCAACAAAAGTTAAGATTTTATTTCCATCATTTACACTTTCAAAATAACAGAAAACAAAAATGGCGTCTGCAAAAGTTTGGGCACCCTGCAGACTTAATATCTTGTACTGCCCCCTTTGGCAAGTATCACAGCTTGTAAACGCTTTTTGTAGCCAGCCAAGAGTCTTTCAATTCTTGTTTGAGGTATCTTTGCCCATTCTTCCTTACAAAAGTCTTCCAGTTCTTTGAGATTTCTGGGCTGTCTGTCACGCACTGCTCTTTTAAGGTCTATCCATAGATTTTCAATTATGTTGAGGTCAGGAGATTGTGAAGGCCATGGCAAAACCTTCAGTTTATGCCTCTTGATGTAATCCCCTGTGGATTTCGAGGTGTGTTTAGGATCATTATCCATTTGTAGAAGCCATCCTCTCTTTAACTTTAGCTTTTTCACAGATGGCATCAAGTTACCATGCAAAATTTGCTGAAATTTTATTGAATCCATTTTTCCTTCTACTCGTGAGATGTTCCCTGTGCCACTGGCTGCAACACAACTCCAAAGCATGATTGATCCAACCCCATGCTTAACAGTTGGACAGAGGTTCTTTTCATTGAATTCTGTGCTCCTTCTCCAAACGTACCTTTGCTCATTCCGGCCAAAAAGTTCAATTTTAACCTCATCGGTCCACAGAACTTGTTTCCAAAATGCATCAGGCTTGTCTATATGTTCATTTGCAAAGTTCAAACGATGATTTTTGTGGTGAGGACGTAGAAGAGGTTTTCTTCTGATGACTCTTCCATGAAGACCATATTTGTACAAGTATCTCTTTATAGTGGAATAGTGTACCACAACTCCAGTGTCTGCCAGATCTTTCTGGAGGGATCCTGCAGTCAAACGTGGGTTTTGAATTGTTTTTCTCCCAATCCTGCGAGCTGTTCTGTCTGATATTTTTCTTGGTCTTCCACATCTTGCTTTAACTTCCACTGTTCCTGATGACTGCCATTTCTTAATTACATTCCGAACAGAGGATATTGACATCTGAAAACGCTTTGCTATCTTCTTATAGTCTTCTCCAGCATTGTGAGCGTCAACTATTTTCAGTTTTCTAGACAACTGCTTAGAAGAACCCATGGTGCTGATTGTTGGGGCAAGGTCAGATGAGTCTGGGCATTTAAAACCTTTGAGATTGACATAACCTGGTCTTCCCAGATGATGATTGAGAACAATCCATGACAATGGCAGGTCTCAGCTTTGCAAAGGGGGCAGTGCATGCTATAAATTCTGCAGGGTGCCCAAACTTTTGCAGACGCCATTTTTTTTTTTCTGTTATTTTGAAAGTGTAAATGATGGAAATAAAATCTAACTTTTGTTGAAATATTATAAAAATGTCTAATCTGTAATTTGATGCCTTTTGGATATTTTTCCATCTTTCCTTGGCTTCTTTATGCACATGAATACAAATTTTTAGCTGGGGTGTCCAAACTTTCAATCCCCACTGTACCTATTATACAGAATTTGCATATTTGCCTTAAATCTGCCTGAGTCCAGCTGAATCCTTCATAATCTAAATATTATGCCTATGATAC